TCCGCGGCTCCCGGGAAAGCCCCCCACCCACCGCTCCCCTCGTTTCCCGGGCCCGCAGAGATCCGCGGCACCTGGGAAAGCCCCCCCATCCCCCCCTTTGGTTCCCTGGCCCGCGGAGATCCGCGGCGCCCGGGAAAGCCCCCATATGCTAATGAGGTATGCTAATGAGGTATGCTAATGAGGTATGCTAATGAGGTATGCTAATGAGGTATGCTAATGAGCTCCGGCAGCTCTTTTTCTACAAAAAGACCCCTGGGTAGGTTCATCTGAGAGTAGGAAGTGCTTAAGGTATGTTTGTGCCAAGCTGTATTAGGGTTTCATAGCTCTTTCCCAACCCCCTGAATTGGGCCCAGAAGCTGACTGGGAACCAGGGTAGACAGAGTAACACTGGAGTGATGTGGTCCCTACCACCCACTCCAGTCAGCATTCTGGCTGCAGCAGTCTATACCTATGGTTGCCATTTGCTTGGTGGGGGCAGGGAATCTCCCAATTTTGCAGTCTCCTGCCCACTGTCAGCCAGTTGGCTGACAGGAGGGAATTCCCCCCCCCAACAGTAACATTGCATGCAACGTGCCTGCATCACCCAGACGTTATGTCAGCACCTCAGCGACATTGGGGGTGACATTCTGAATTTTAAGCAAAACTCTATGGTTTGATGCCAATTTTACCATAGAGTTTTGTCCAAAATCCAAAGTGTTGCCCCCGACGTCACTGGTGTCACTTCTGGGTGACACAGGCAAATCACGTGCTATGTCACTGTTTTGAGGGGAATGGGGGCAACATCACTTCCCACTTCCGGAACGTCCCCCATCCCCCCACCAGTGGGTGAAAGGGACCTGGCAACCCTATTTATACCAGCTGTAACTTCAAGACACTTGTCAAGGGGCAGCCCCACAGAACATTAGATTAGTCTTATCTAGATATTACCAGGGCATGTACCACAGTGCAAAGAACTTTTTTTGCCCAGGAAAGGCTGCAGCTGGCTCACCAGCTTAAACTGATGAAAGGCACCTCTGGTCACTGCTACCACCTGCTTAGCCAACAGGAGGCCCAGGTATAGCTACACTCCCCAAGCTATGAACCTGCTTCTTTAGGGGGAGTGCAACTTCATCCAGAGCAGAAGACACCTCAGTTCCTGGGTCAAGCCTTCCACCCACCAGTAGCATCTCCATTCTCTCAGGATTACATTTGAGTTTATGAGCCCTCATCCATCCCAAAACTGACTGTTCATGGTTTCCACAGTCTCCCTGAGATCCACTGGAAGTATGAGACACAGCTGAGTGATAGCCACATATTGGATAACCCAGCCAAAATCTTCAGATGACTTCTCCCAGCAGTTTCATGTAAAGCTAAAAACCATAGGGGACAAGATGGAGCTTTGCAGGACTTCATAGGCCAGGGGCCAAGGGGGATGAGAAGCAGTCCCCTAGCACCACCATCTGAAATCTACCTTGTTTATTTATTTATTTGCTTGGATTTGTACCCCGCCCTCCCTGCCAAGGCAGGCTCAGGGCAGCTAACACCATAAAACATAACAACAATAAATATCATAAACATCTAAAATTAATTCATCAACCA